AGAGACTAACCCTATGCACCATTGACGACGCACGATGTATCATTGTCTACCCATGATGCACCATTGACTAGGCACCATGCCTCATAGAGACTAACCCTATGCACCATTGACGACGCACGATGTATCATTGTCTACCCATGATGCACCATTGACTAGGCACCATGCCTCATAGAGACTAACCCTATGCACCATTGACGACGCACGATGTATCATTGTCTACCCATGATGCACCATTGACTAGGCACCATGCCTCATAGAGACTAACCCTATGCACCATTGACGACGCACGATGTATCATTGTCTACCCATGATGCACCATTGACTAACCAATTGCATCGCTGATTGTCAAAATAGCGCTAATAATAATATAGCAGCCACTCACAATTTGGACTCCAGTTGGGATTTAACGGTTTCTAATTTTTGTTCATTCAAGAGTCAATCAAATAGACAAAGAAAGTATTTAATGCAAGAATTTGCTAAATATAAGAAGAATTTATTGATGTAAAATAATGAGAAAGCAATTAGTTTTTTGTATAGTTTTTATACTACTGTAATGTTTTCTAAGTGCAATGGAAAGAGTAATCAATTAAACGGATAAATTAAAAGTCTAAATATCAGATATTCCCCAAATGTTAAGGTTTATGCCTATAGGRTTATGCCTATACAGTTATGACATGTAACAAATATTAGGCTTATTAACCCTAATAGTTACTATTAAACACTGACTAGTAGTAATTGTTTCACAGACGGATGAAAATAACTCTATGCAAACTCAATTTGCACTCTTAATTTGAGTCCCTGGGGATTATGCAAATGAGATAATAAAAGGTGTTCCAGAGTCTCCTTTGTGTCACTCTACTCGAGGCAGCGTCGCGAGAAACATCATCTTCTCCCTACCCGCCCACCCAAGGAAGCCTTTCTTGAATTGCCTTACTCACAAGTACTTACTTCTATCGCTTTGGCCTAGGCGTGTCCCAGGCCATCGCTATCCCATTCCTTATCACTATCTCATGAATAACAATACCCGGGGATGAGTATTACACTAATAGCCGATTTGCATAATGGCYTCATTTACTACAAGTACCAGAATGCTTTACCAGCTTTCATTTGTAATGCAATTAGTGCCAATTGTTTAATTAATCTCCAAGGGGAGTAAAAATCTGAATAACAATGAAAATGCGCAAGCCTCTCTGGTAGGTGTAGTAAACATGTACGCCATAATGCAATTTGCCCTATTGTCAAGAAATATATAGTTTGCATTTCACGGATTAAATAAAATTGCTCTATTTGTTAGTAACTATTTAGATTTTATTTCATGGACATWGTGTAATATTCATCCCCGGGTTATTCATGACATAGTGATAAGGAATGGGATAGCTCTGGCCTTTCCCCACTCCTTCATCCGTTCGTTACTACTGATTACTCACTAACACAAATATATAAATACAACTTTTCCGTTATTTCCTGCGTTAGAAACTTCCGTATCCTACAAGAAATATTGCGCAAGTAAAAGTAACCTGCTTTACATGTCTTAGTAACGTGCGTATTCATTGAAACGGTTATTTTCAAACCAACAGCCTAATTTCCTTATGGCCTCACTACTTGGTACGATCTGATCGAGAGTCTCCGACAGCAAGATTGTCGATTGATTTCTTTAACTGCGCTTTTGTACCAATGAGAATCACTTCGCTCTTGTCGTCATTGATCTTTAGACTGTCCCTGGTCATCCACTGCCTAATATCCTTTATGCATGCCTCCATAACAGAGCCATGGAGCTATTCGGTTGAAATGCGAGGTATAACTGCGTATCATCGGAATAGCAGTGTATTTTGGGTAAATGGTTGCTGACGATGTCGAAAAGCGGGCTCGCATAAATAGAGAACAGCAACGGTCCTAAACACGGACCCTTGTGGTACGCCGAATTCAATATTAAACCTCTCAGAAGTTGCGTTGTCAAWGACAACTTGTTGAAAGCGACGAGACAAGTATGATCTAAACCACTCTAACGCCGTCCCAGTAAATCCGAACTTATTCTCAAGGCGGTTCAGCAACACTGCATGAGTGATCAATAGTGTCGAACGCTGCGCTCAAGTCCAGGAATACCAGAAGTGTAACTTGTTGTTTGTTCATGTTAATTAATATGTCATTGCGCACTCGTAGTAATGCTGTTTCAGTACTGTGAAGAGGGCGATAGGCTGATTGCAAAACACGGAGGAGACCATTCGCCATTACATGAGAAAGGGACTGCTGCGCAACTGCTCTTTCCGTGAGCTTAGATAGAAACTGTAAGTTGCTGACAGGACGAAAGTTCTTTTTAATCGGCTCTAGCATAGGTTTTTTAATCCTTGGTTTAACAAGCGCACCCTTCCAGTCATCGGAAATCACCTGACTGAAGAGAAAGGTTGATAATTGATGAAATGTTCGAATGTACATCATTTTGCTCAATCAACTCGAAATTTTAMYTTAAGYTTTTWTTGAAACTTCGTCAGTATATCAATTATGTTATTAAGAAATGATTCTGAAAATTTTATTACAATCTCTGCGATGAGTTTCGAGAAAAATTTTGACGAAAAATGAAGGCGTTTTTATTTGCATCGTTTATSCAAATGGCTTTACTTTTTGGAAAATTAATTTATCAACAAGAATTATCGATAATCACTGTGACTTCTGTGAAAGTTTGAGTGCAATTGAATCGAAATTTGKGACGTAGTTGGAGTTTAAAAATAATACGCGTGAAACGCTATTTATTACGATCGAAACACCTTAAACCTTCGTATTGTTGATGTTATCTGACAGGACAATACCGCGTCCATCCTGTTTTTAGTGGGGATAATGATCTTAATAGTGCTTTTGTTCGGTTGCTATGGAAACCAAGATTCAGCAAATTTGAATATCTATTAAAACAGTTTCTGGACAGGTGGTTCCGCTGTYGTTTGTATCYTAAAACACAGCTCAGATGTTAAATACAGGATGAAATCATAGCGATCAGTCGACGACAATAACTTTAATTCCGAAGACTAAAGGTAAAATAACTCATTAAGATATATTGTCGAAATGTTTTAAAGAAAAAAACAAGACWGCAATTGGCCACGTTATATCACAACTCACTGACTCGTGCAAAAAAATACCGTTTTGAAAAAGTCTACTCGGTTAATAACGAGCCTCAAGGCTGATAAGTTGAATTTCTATTTCCTGGACAGCACCCGTTGAGAGACAAAATTCAGATTTAACTTCGCTTAACGAATACGTATTATTATCCAGTTCGCCTATTTAACTATCAATGTGACCGAACTCAATGTTGATATCAATYAATATTCAATATTCGCCTATAATCACTGAGCCTGAGGAAACAATTGTTTTGTTATAAATTTGTAGGTAACTATTTCAAAAATAAAATGCGAATAAGATGAAATACATGCAAAATAATAAAAAAAAACCGTTCGTCTAGAATATCTGGCCCTTTAAAACCTAGCAGGAATCAACACTGGAAAGCAATGAAATAAATCAGGAAACTGAATAAATGCCATTTAAAAGCAAATCAGAAATGTTGTTTAATATTCGTAGAGTTTAAAGTGAACGCGGAGCAACTCTGATCAACGTGTTGCCAACGACAAGTAAAATGAAAAAACTTTGATTAGTCGTGGAGCTTCGACAATGCTCTGCTGTCATCAGCAGGAGAAACAGGATTTTTTTTTCCTAATTATTGCTTATATTATGTATTTTCTCTGGAATCGGATATCAGTCTTTTCAGAAACGTTGAATYCCCAATGTGCTCAAGAAAGTGTATTTCAAGTGCATCGTCGGCCGTTTTCTCGCGGTTCAAAAAGCTGGAGAACAAAAAACATTGCAGGCTGCTGTACCTTGTGGATGAGCAAGCGAGGTGATGATCTAATCCAATCTGAAATGTTTAGCTCTAGCAAAACGACTTATCTGACCGTTTTAAAATCACATCAGCGACAAAAAATTCACTGTTTCACTCCAATTTCATAATTATTTCTTGAAAAAAGATATTGGAATATTCCGTGATATATTTATTTCAYATTCTGAACTGTCCCATTAGCATCTCTTTTTCTTGAATATTTAATTCAGCCCGGTATTCATGTTTATACTTTTTGATCATGATTTTCTTTGGCGTATCAGTGCAGTTCATGCTTTTTGGTGGTCACGTTTTGTCGTCGCCTTCGCAAAACATATAGCCTAATGATAACGATGCTCTGTATTACTGCAAGCAGAAGAGAAAACGTGTGCTACGGAGCCATCTGAAGGTTCTCATTCTGTCTGGCAAAAAAGAATTCTAGAAAATATATAAAAAGGCAAATAAAGCTAAAGAAGATTTTACTACACAAGAATAAGAAATTAGAAGAAACGTGACAGACAAAATCATATCTTTAAAATGAGAAACCAGCTGCACTGATTGTAATTCTTTTGCCCAATGCACTTGATTATTGTTTTTCTTGATATATATAGTCTTTCGCCTATAGTATAGATGAGCTATTATTTTTTACCCAAAGTTACAATGCAAGAAAAATAAATTTCTGTGAAGAAAATCATCTGAATGGATCTTGTCTAGTCCACTTAGGTTAGTGATCATAATCGATGCCAAAAAGGATTATGGGATAGGCTATTTAATTAAAGAAATATAGTCCTTATTACTTGTCTTACGTCGTTGGTGTTCACAGTATGTTTCATTAGCGTGTGAATTGACGGAGCTCATTTCTTACAATAATTAAGGAATAAAGACATGTTGCTTGTACAGTTAGTCCTATAGTGCGGATTCCGTATGAGTGGGAAACGGACGGTACTGTACGGTTACCGTAATCGTACTGTAACCAAATTCTAGTGCCCCATTGGTTCACTAAAATTGTGCAGGCCATGGGTCCGGTAACTGGCGGTAACCGTGCGGTAACGGTGTCACTCTCATACGAAATCCGCTCTAAGAGATAGCGGTATTCTTGACATTCGACAAGACATAGCATGTTTAGCTATATTTTTTTAMCTTTTTGTAATATAAAAATTAGGTAAAACCTAATAGCGGAGCTCCCAAAAGATATGCATGTTGGATAATTGACACGTTGGTCAGACTAAGCATGTTCTTTTTGCTAACAAAGAATTTCCTTGGCACTACATTAAATATTAAACTTGGCCTCTTCAAAATTGTTATTTTTTTCTCAGTTTCAAATTCTTGAATTGTGCATTCAGAGAGTGCGCGATTTATCATGAAGAGTACACCATTTATATATAATGTAAGATATCTTTCTACGTATTGAAAACATAATTTAGGTTATTTACAAAATAAAACTTCCTTAGACAATATTACAGAAAACATAAATTAATATTAATTATTAATATTTTTGACAGTTTGACATTATTGGCATAATAAAATAAGTATGTCTACAACATGAGCGGCCGTGTTGTATGTGATATTCAAAAAACGAGTAGGAGTGTTTTATTCAACTGGTTTATTTATCAAAAAGATCATTTTATCAAGCTGACATCAAGATACCAAGACTACACTTTCTCAACAGATCGACACGAGTGAGGTCTCSAAATGCCGAAAAAAAGAGGAATATTGATACAAGGTCGTACAATAATCTTGAAATCTCAACATCTTCCAGTCATTTTATAAAATCTCTACTTACAAAAAGCTGATTCCCATTGACATTCATCCTTAAAAGGCTTTTCTGATCGATTTTCTGTCGAAAACTTCGCAAAAACAGGTGACGAGAATTCAGCAACTAGGTGTTGTGTGACAAGATGATTCCGTTTGACCGATCTTGCCAAAAAAAGGGTTAATCAAATTAGCAAAATCTTGTACTAGTAAAATGCTATATTTGTAAACTAAGAGCCAACACTGTTCCTCAAACTTTATAATTATTTTGTTGTTGTTGAAGTTTAAAAATCAACATGCATATTCTTAATTTTTAATCAAAAAAATGTAAAAAATTTTATTTCCAAATTCGTTAAAACGTAAGTTAAATTGGCAATATTTAAAAGTTGGGAAAATCCAAGTAAATTAATATAGGATGTAGTCTATGGAATTACTGTCTTATGGCAGTGTCTACTATCACACTTTAATACAATAGACAAATTTGGTTTCACGGGTTTAATGATTTGCTCTATTTACTGATCCATTGAGAATTCATATGGCTGTTGATTGTTTTTGATTTTAGGTTTTGATTGAGGTCATTAGTTTCTTTGAAAACTGATAGACATGGAGGAACCAAATAACAACAACAACAGCAACATCAACAACAGCAGCAGCAGCAACAGGTATTTCAAAATCGTCTAAAATATTCTGAACTAAAAAATGCAAGTACAAGTGCAATAATATTGTACTTATTCTTGACCTAGTGGGAGGACCGTATCGGAATCATTATTCGGGTCAAGATCGCTCTGTGTGAGGTCGTTTCGGAGGTTTTCGTTTCGAGAGTGCGTTAGGGTGGAAACAGGTTTTTTCTGGACCGTCTCGAATCAGTTTTCGGCCCTGATCGTGAGGTCATGCAGCAGCCAAATCCAACATCACAATCTTTCTTAATTTTTCTTACCAAGAAAAGTAAAAACCAAATTATGTTTCACAAAATTATAGCCGGTATAGGTCGTGGGTTAGGATTATAGCCGGTATAGGTCGTGGGTTAGGGTTAGGGTCATAGCCAGTATAGGTCGTGGGTTCAAGGCGAGGTCGGAAATTCATTTTTCTGGATGTATTTCCAAGGGTCTTTTCGCCCAAAACACCCTCCTTCCTAGCGCTACATCATATGATTACAAAACAAGACTTGTTAGCTCAGGAAAAACACACATTTGAGCTTTGAGCTTTGACCTTTGAGCTTGAATTCTCCGAAAAAAGCCCTTGCATGGTCTAAAGACAAGAATATAATTCATTACTAACACAATTTTACGTCTTCCACACAGCTATAAACAGGGTTGCTGCACATGCGCAAACAAAGTCCAAGGATTTTTTGAAAGTATTTTTGGTAGCCTTGGATCCACTATTGCTAAGCATCCATTCATTACTATAACGATATGCGTCATCATCGCAGGAGCACTAGGAGCTGGCCTCGTCTTCATGAAGACAGAAAATCGAGTTGAAAAACTTTATATTCCTCCTGAAAGTACTGGTTTGAAAGATCTCGCTAAAGCAAGAAAGTTTTTTCCTCTGATAGACGCAAAACCTGAAGAATTCCTTATTGTTCCTAAGACTGGAAAAGATGTGCTGTCAAAACAGTGCTTCGTGGAGATTCTTCAGCTTCATCAAACCATTATTTCAGTAAAAAACTTTGACAAATTCTGCATCAAATTGTCCAACAAGTGTGTGTTTACAAACCCAATGGAATTGTTTGATTTTGACGAAAGCAAACTAAACAACATATCACAGCACATTACAAAACTGTACAATTCACCTGATTTCCTCATGAGAAATGGCAGAACACTGAACATGAATTTTGGTCAGATGTTTGGTAAACCTGTCTGGAGTAAGCAATATCTTCAGAGTGCATCTGCCGTCCAGATAAATTATCAAATGTCCGACAAAGAAGAAGACAGCAAAGCTATCTTAGAATTCGAAAAAACTTTGATTGATAAAGTTTTTGACAAGAAATCAAGATTTTCTTGTGCTGAAGTGTATGTTTATGCAGGAAGAAGCCTTGGAGATGCAATCGATGAGAGCAGTGGATCAGACATCCTTCTCATTTCCCTGACATTTACGATAATGATAACTTTTGCGTGCTGTTCATTAATCAAGTTTAAGAACCCTTTGGCTAGCCATGCATGGTTAGCTAACGCTGGGATTCTTGCTGTTGGTCTCGGAATTGTGTCAGGATTTGGATTGTCCATGTTTGCAGGTACAGTGGTGCACATGCATTATAAATAATTATGTAAATCAGAAATTTCCCTAACCATAAATATGATATACAATCATTTTATTAGATCCAATAAAAGCCCCAGCAACTGTTTATGGCAATTTTTCGCTCGGCTTTATTACTACAAAATTTTCCACCATTACTATCCCTGTATATYTGCAGTGAACTTGACATATATCTACCTCTGTACTTTGTTGAATGATATCTCCTAAATTACCTATGTATTTTTTCTAAATCACGAGCCTTTCGATTTAGTCTCTGCRGGTCAGTCCTTACTGATCAGTTTGTTCTTTTTTTCATAGCAATAGTATTATTAATGTAAAGTATCATATAATATACTGCAATTTATCAGTAAACAATTCATTATTACTCTGTTATGATAGGTGTGCCGTTCATCAGCATAGTTGGCGTTCTTCCATTCCTCATCCTTGGTGTTGGTATTGATGATATCTTTATAATTATCGATGAAATGGATCGTATTGACATCAGTAATCATAGTGTTTTTGACACCGTCAAATTCATCATGGCGCATACTGGAGCATCTATCACCATGACAACCGTTACTGATTTAGTAGCCTTTGCTGTCAGTACATCAACCCAGTTCCCCTCCATACGATACTTTTGTATCTACGCTGCATTGTCTATTACATGCGCTTATATCATGATAATCACCTTCTTTGTGGCTTTCTTATCCTTTGATGTCAGACGGATGAAAGCAGGTAATAAAGATTGCTTTAATATATTATAAGTAATATCATGGCACTGGGCGATATTACGGATTAAATGTCCCCGAAGCCGAGGAAATTTAGTGGAAGTCCAGAGGCCGCATGTATTATATTGGATAAACTATTTATGCTACATACAGGTATTATAGACATGATATAATACTGAAAATGATCATTATGGTTACCACTGTATTTGATCAGTCAATTCAAGATAACATGTATTCGTACAACCAAACTGCGGGGAGGGCTCTAAGATGCTATTTTCTTAGTTTTTCTTCTAGTCGATTAATGGTGACACCGAGCATCGCTATAATCATTTGATTAAAAAAGACTGTGTTGTGTATGTCGGGGATTGTTTATTCATTTAAGAGATTATGTTGCTTATATTGTTCATATTTAGCTCGAGCACAATTAGCTCTCAATATTACTACAAGATATTTTGAAAGTTTTTATTTAAACCTCAGAACATCCTAAACTGCCATGAGAAATGCTATATGTTGGGAATCACGGACTACCATTTTTCGTTTTCAGTTCGCCCACGAATTCCAAATGCTTCCAGAAGAACATAAATATATAAACATCTAGAAAATCTAATTCTTAAAAAAAGATTACTAAAAATAACACGTGACAATAAAGTGCCGGCGGCGTTCACTGTTTATTTGTTCATCAGGTCGACGAGATATTTGTCCTACGTGCACAGTCCCCAAGGAAAAAGAGGGGGAGCGACTCTGGACCACGCCAATGCGTCCGCTATCAAGTATGATAATGAATGCCTGGGGAAGGGTGCTCATGCACACTGCTACACGGGTCATTGTCATAGTTGTATCTTTAGCCTTGCTAGGAGTCAGCATCTTCTATGCATTGAAGATTTCAGAGGATTTTGATCGTCGTCTTCTAGCTAAAGAAGGTACTTATAGACAGAACTCAGGAACTCATTTTTTGGAGATGATTATGTCCCTGTTGCCCATACAAAAGCAAGCGTTAGAATACGATTCCTTGCATTGCTTGTTGCATCTTTATCAGCCTGTCCCTTAAGGAGTTTGCTAAGCACCTCATCTCACCGGCGTTAGAAAAACTAGCTGAATTCCCTGTGTTGGATTGCACGCTTCTTTAAGGTGGCTTTCTACAGTTGTTTTCGATTTTTGCAGTAATTTGCAAAAATTACATCCATGAAATATTTGTCAATATTACTCAAAATGAATTTTCTTTTAACTATTCCTAAACGTTATGCYATAGTTTGAAGTTAATAATGATGTCTACCGCTTTTCTGGATATCTCATGATCAATTTTTTGAGATATTTGGGAAAAACGAATTTCGACAAAATGCAAYTTCCGTTGCCTAGGTAACGTTGATAGAGCTAATTATTATTCCAAACAAAACTTCGGTCAATGTTTTAATACTGGTCCAAACACGAAACAAATCAGTACACAGCAAGATTTTCAAAAAGCGAATTTAAAATGAGAGGTATGGTCGAAAAACAACTGTAGGAATCCACCTTAAAAGACCAACGAGCATGAGCCGATGAGGCAAGACCTGAATAACAAAAGAAATATGTGTGTTTTGTTGTGTTAGTGCTCCATAGTCTTCCTTCAAGGTGCGCATTAGCTATTAAGTCATCTTTTCATGTTGATTCTGAAGTAGCCCACATTAGGGGCCAAAAGCAAAAATATACGAGTAACGATTGATTTCTTCTGCAGATAGCTACGTCATGAAATTTCTGAATGCTCAGGAAAAGTATTACCCATCGACAATCCCAGTCAGCATTGTAATAGACTCCCCTGATGTCAAATATGAAACCAGTGAGGTACAGCAAGRGATCCTAAAACTATCAACAATCGCTACAGAGAACAGTTACTACAAGAATCTTACAATTTCTTGGATGCAGGAGTTCAAATCGTTTGCAAAAAAAGCAAATCTTAGCATCTTTGGTTCAAGTTTTATGCCTTCGTTAAAGATTTTTCTCGGAGCTCCACAATATGCGTTATTCAAGCAAGATGTGGTCTTTTCAAAGGATAATTCAAGCGTCCTTGCATCTCGTATTCAATGCTTTATGGAATCAACAAGCAGTGCAGTAACGCGAAAGGACGCCATGTTGACACTACGTAGCGACTTGGAGAGCATGAACTCCGATATTCCTGCTTACCCAATCACCAAGGTATAGATCAATTAGCTTATTCTTCATTTAGCCGATCACATGTATTATATGTAATAATGAGTAATAGGGATATTACCCTGGTTGCAGAGGTTTCTCTGTGTTATTCTCTGTGAAAATCTCTCCGTTCTTCTCTCCGTTCATCGAGCTGCTACGCAGCTCGATGTCACCGCTTCGTGGCGAAGAACGGAGAGATTTTCACAGAGAATAACACAGAGAAACCTCTGGAACCAGGGTATAGGGATATCATTGATATCAGGGATTAAATCCAGGCAAGAAACTTATCATTTAGTATTTACTTAATAGCCGTCATGAGACGTAACTGGTATACAACAAAATTTATTAATGTGTTTAACATGACAACGGGTTATCAACGCAACTGGCCTGTCACCTTGGATTAATTCTCGGTCCGGACATCATATGTTATTTGAGTTTCTTTCGTTCTCTCCATTGCGTTTTTCCGGGTCTTTTCCGGCTTTTCCTCCGGCCGTCAGTAAAAACGAGTAATTTCTATCTGCTGTGTTCRTCGTTGTCATTCCTGCTTATGCACTTTCAGGTAGTCATAGTGTCAACATCACATAGCTATATATAGTTATACTCGAGTGCGTTTTTTATCGGGTTTTATGCGGCTCGAATCTATATGTATAGTTTAAAACACGCACTTAATTCGTTCTATAAACAACATATTTTTTTCGATTTTGCCTTTGCCGACGGACACTATGAACAGAACGATCAATTATTGTGTACCAGTGGACAGTCATAAAGGGTGATCACGACTAGGGTTTGTTAGGTCCTCAGTTGTTCTTTTACGTCCCACCGCTAAAGTATAGAAAGAATTGTAGGGAGACAGGACCTCCGGGTTCAATGTCTTTATCCTAAAAAGGACATGATATAATCTATGAGTTATTCTTGTCCCATTTCAATTTTAACTGATTGCATTTTAGTTTCTTTACAATGTTTATTAATGCCGTGTGTTTTGTATCACAGGTGTTCATCTATTTAGAGCAATATGCATATACAAAGAAAGAAACAACCATGAATATCGCTTTGGCAGGCTCAGTAGTCTTCGTTATCATGATTCCATTTTTACTCAGCCTGACAGGGACTTTGATAGTTAGCCTTGGTTTCGGTTCTCTCATTTGTGAGTTGTTTGCCTGGATGTACATGTTGGATATCTCGCTTAACATGATTTCAACCATACAGATTGTAATGGCCATTGGTTTCTCAGTGGATTACAGTGCACATGTTGCGCATGCGTATCTCATGTCTACCAAGCAAAAACCCGAGGATCGCGCTATACATGCTCTCACCACAACGGGGGCTAGTGTTCTAATGGGAGGTAATGAGCGTGTTTATCATATAATTATCTATGAAATACCTATATTTCTCCATACCTATATTTCAATAGTGAAAATAACACATTCGAGATTTCTCCATATAATTGCAAGTAAGAAAAAAGGTGTTTTACGGCATAATTTGCTTTCATATAAAATTATATGATAAATAGAATATTACATGTCCGCTTGGGGATACGAATTTTATCTTCTCGTGTTGYAAATCTCTCACTCGTTCGCTACGCTCACTCGTGAGAGATCTTTTCAACACTCGAAGATAAAATCCGTATCTCCGCGCGCCCATGTAATATCCTCTATATAAGTTGATCATTCTATAATTTTTGTATAATTATACAAATCTTACGTAGTAACAACCGATCCTTAGTAACAATCGATCCTTAGTAACAATCGATCCTTAGTAACAATTGATTGTTGTTATTGGAGTCTGTTTGCTGCTCTTTTATTGATCATTAGAATTATAGCTTGAAATGTATTTATGTGTATTACCGATAAATCTATTACAGTATTATAGTTATTAAATTGCAATGAATTTACATTAAAAAAACAGAGTACAAGAAATTTTAACCAACAAAATTTTATAAGCTTATTTAGTTCAGAAAGGGACAACCCAAATATTCCGGAGCGTGTAACATAATCAGTAATGGAATGAGTTGTGCGTCCCTCTACAGTACGCTGCCAAGAGACGTTCAAATCCACTATTTTATTTTAGTTCTGTTTGTTCTTCGCAGGTATAAGTACATTTCTAGGGATGGTCGTCACTGCATTCGCGTCATCAGAAGTCTTTAGGATTTTCTTCAAGATGTTTGTTGGGATCGTTGTCCTTGGCTTAATTCACGGTCTGTGTTTTTTACCTGTTTACCTTTCTCTATTCTATCGATGGTCACCAATCTCATCACATTCAACAGTAAGTATCTTGTAGCAGAACGAATAAAGGAAATCATGTAGTTTCGATGCATAGGGAGGTATGTGTGGGTGATCGTTATATATATCAGGAGCACGATTCTGTGCAGCGGGGTTGTGCTCCTGGGGAAACTTCTTCACCTTTTCAAATTCTTAATTCAAGCTCTCTTTTTCATTCCACCGAGTAGTAAAGAATTTTCTAATAATTTTGAGACCAATCAAAATCGACGAACTTCTTATTCTTTTTGGGTTTTCTCGTTGTCAAAATATTTTCAGCCGTTTCACTTTGAAAACCATACTTATAGATAGAAAAAGACTTGTTCTGTGTCGTCGGTTCAAATGGGACGGTTGCTATGATAAAGTTGTCTAATTTATTGAGACGAAAGCTATTTTACTTATTGTTTTTTTTTTGTTATGTAGGGGCGTCCACCGTCAGCCGGTAAGCATACTTTTGGGATCTCAAACGAAGCATACGACAGGACAAATCTTCAACTTGTCACAGGAGAAAGTCCCATCAATCAAAAAGTGCAGCCAATATTTTCAGCTGAGACTGGAGAAGTCTAATGTGCTTTGCTTTGCACAYCTGACAGATAAACCATAGTTTTAATATGACTGGCTACTATCTATGAAATGTTTGGCCATGAATAGTACGCTTACGTCAGTTTTTTCCTCCAAATGTGAAAAGGAGTGTGTCTTTGTTTARTTACAAAGGAGATCATAAACATGTCAACTATAGTCAAAAAACCAAAACAGTCYAAAGCAAACGAAGCTATAAAACGAGTTAGATGTTAGTCCTTTTGATTTATTCTACCAAGCCATTTTTCAAGTAAACATTTTGATAATATATTAAAAAGGGCCATGCAATCAATTTTTTAGTGTGAAGACTTCGAAAAGTCATAAAATTAGGGCAGGCAAAGACAAAAAGAATAACGTCGACTCTTGGATCAGTTCAATGCAAAATATAGTAGTTTTCTATGAGTATTTCAAGGATTCTTACGTTGCCGTGACTTTAATAGTGAAAAAAAAATTATCTTATTAATGGCAGTTTTGTTCTTCGTTTAGTTACTTATAATTTCACTGTTTTCGACTCATTCATGTGATCAATTTATGCTAAGAATATTCATGAAAGAAATGGTTCATAGGTCACGTGCATCTGTCGAGTTATGGATGCACTTGGGAGGATGACAATCAAATGTTCTAGATTGGGACTCCGCTTCGCGTCGTGACARCCATTTTTTTTTTGTTCTTAGCAGCCTCCCGCATGTATCCAAAACTCGCAAAATCCTTCTCAGATTTGGTCGAGGTTCACCTAAACTTTAAAGTGTGACACATTCATTCACGATCCCTTCAAATCCCATAGCTGTAATTCATGACTTTTTCATCCCCTATTGATTCCATTACGGGAAGTAAAATAATTTTTAATATTTTTTTATTTTTATTTAGTATGAAACTTTATGAGGTTCATTTCTCTCATTCGCGATCATTCATAATAATCATTCCTTAACGTTTATAAAGTTTGAAAATGAGTTTTTATGAATAAAGTATCTTTACTTACAGTGCGAGTTTGAGTCTTTAAAGGTGCGCAGTACATTGCCGCTGAATGAATACATCTGATGTAACATAAGCATTTGTTCTTACCAAAAACTTTGTTTTCCATTAGTACTCCAGGTTGTTTGTTTTGTAAGCCAGTGTGTGTTACTACAGAGCGAGGCAATATATGATATGGCTACGCGGCTAAGGATTCAGAAAGTATATAGTTTATTGTATTCTGGTATCCCTGTGTCTATCACTGTGTAGCCGGTGGCTACAGGTAGAGTGGAGTGGTATTCGATAGTTGTACCCAAAATCTCCCTTATTGTGTACACTGTATCATCTTTGCCTTTTATACACGGTGTATAAAGAAGCCATTACTAAAATGACGTTGTTGAGGGTAAAGCACTAGTCTGTATATTTAATAATGCTCGTAGTTTCGTGACAATAGGACTATCATCCTGCTCTTAATTTGAACAATGGCCAACAAAAGTGCCATTGGTTGGTTGCTGTGGAAACCTAGGATAGCGAATTTGAATAAGACAGGTTATATTCATGTGGTTCCAGCCGAAGGTTTGCATCGATAAAACACGAAATCAAATACATGATAGAAAAGTGTGACAAGTCGACGATAATAGTTTGAAGTACAAAGGTAAAAACTAAGATAACATTATGATATAGAAGAAGACAAATAATTCAYTGTTAAGAATATGAAATCAAACATTGTTCTGATGATGACTTCGTAGTCGAAAACATTCAATTTTTCTTTTTGTACATATTGRAAATAATTTATAGCCTTAATTCTATTGTATATACAACATTAGCTTCATAACACACCGCTGACMTTTTTTGCATCGCCATTGGAGACCAGTCTAGCATTTTGTACACAAGAAAACAAATAAGGTACCACAAAARAAACGCAGGAAATGTTTATTTGAATGACAACACYAACATCYACACTGGTATAGACGCCAGTATAGACCAGTTWAGGCTCTTCCTGGTCAGATTTTGTTATTGTATGGCCTGTACATGGTTAGCTTATTGGTTATGCAATAATTACCCTATTCAAGACGTAATAAGCAATCAGAGGATTCCAGGATTCGTTAATGCACTTTTTATAAGATGCATTATGCAAGCTGCGATTCTCAAGATCATTTGATAAGAGTCATTTTCTGCGGCCATGTTGTTTTCAGAGAAGTTTCCATATCAGTTCTGATACACGTGTATTGACTGTGACCCAAACAATGGACCATGCATCATGCGTCTTTTATCTAGAATTACTTTTAAATYACATTTGGATACCCTATAAGTGAAAGGCAAGAGGTTTTTTTTTTTTTCAAAAATTGTTGGGTAAGTTTTATGTTATTCTAATTTTATTCTACTTATGTTGAAATAACCTGAAGAAACTTGGCTTTCACTTGCTTATTAATATGCAAACTTTMAAGCGAAACTAACAAAAGGCCTGTTTGAACTTAAAGCCATGTCTACACGAGAAATTTTTATATGGCAACTGTTCACAGGCTTACCAAACTATCAAGYAGAGAAGTCGACTCCAGGCCTCCTACATTGATTATCGTCCGAAAGCCGTTAAAATCTCTTCAAATTTAGGTCATATTGACATGTCGGTCATATTCAACATCGATATTTATGTGTTATTTGTTGAGTTTGTATTCTATTTTTCAAGTTGAAGGAACTTTAARGTTTACTAATTGTGGTCGTTTTTGCCGTGCGATATGCTTTTCATCCGTAAATATGATCACGATCAGACGTGTAGTAATCCAACCYATCGATGTTAAAAATGTCCTCATTTTGAAGAGATTTCAAAGGCTTTSAGCCGATAATCGTCATAGGAGGCCTGGAGCCGACCTCTCTTCAAATAGTCTGGTAAGCCTGTGACTGTATGTAAAAATTGTTATAATTGCCCATGTATGTATGTTGTCAATTTTCGTTTGGTTAGTGAGTGATTTTGGACAGCGGATGAAAAACAACAAACTGTTGCAATTGAGATGGCCGCTATGACTATATTGTAGAGACTTTCTCTAACTCTCAACTCCTCTAATGCTGAAACGAACCTAATTTATCTGTCCAAACTTATGTTGACATCGACACTTTTTGAAAGGACAAGTGGTGGAGACTGGATGGCGTTTACCGACTTCACAATAATTGACACATTTTATGTGGCTCTTGTACATAGACAATTTTCTACATAAATTATGACAATTTATTTTTCCCACCAAAAACTAGCATGGCTGCTTTCCAACAAATACAATTGGCACAAAAAACTGACCAATTTGCTTATCTACACGGGCAATAATAATTGCCACATAAAAAAATTGCTCGCCATAGACGCAGCTCAATTTGTCATTTTAACATAAAATCTACGTTAACTTATGATTGGATATCTGACAACAAGTCAAGTAAATGGCTAATCAGCAATGCATGCTCTTGGTATATCGCCCATGTTRTACGAATTTTTCTCTGTAACAATATAGTGAATTGAGGTAATTTAGTCATGTTTTAGGCCACTGGTGGAAGCCATGCGTCATCGCAAATCAGTGAACCTCAACGAGCCAAATAATAGCAACGACAACAGGTGGGTATGAWAAATGTACTCATTTGTTATCAAAATCTCATGACATTTGTTCAGTAGCTATGATMGAATATGTTGGCTTTTTGTTGAGTACAGCTTTTCATGGGGGAAGATCATGTATCCATTCACTATCCCACTTTGCGGACAGTAACGCTTTTATAAATCAGGATTTATTTGCGAATCAGAAACGTATCTTTTTTTAAGAGAGCTCTGCTTTGAATTCGACCTAACAATAAAATAACTGCTTGACAATAAAAGACTAAGAAAAAGACATCTAAGTCTTTAGTTTCCGTGGGTTTAAAAGCCCTTGCTGTTCGACATGGCAATACAGTCCAATCAGCAAAACAACTGATTTTCATTCGCGAGAGAACAAAGCCGAACTTTTYGTTTGTCCCCAGATGAAGCTCCCTACTTCGTATGAAGGAGATCTATAAGACCGCTGGACATTGAAGGAGGGTAGTTTTCCCGTTTTCCCATTCAGTGTTGGGGTATAGATCATTTCATATGACCAAAATGCAAAGATTTGAACTCTAACTAAGTTTATGTCTTTTTCACACAGCAAAGAACAATGTTGCAAATGTGCAGGGACTGTTGAACGGTTTTTAGAAATTATCTTCGGTAGCCTGGGATCGACTATTGCCAAGTATCCATTCGTTACCATAGCGATCAGCACTATTATTGCAGGATCATTAGCCGCTGGTCTCATCTTAGTGAAGACAGAAAATCGAGTTGAAAAACTTTACCTTCCTACTAAAAGTACTAGCTTGAAAGATCTTGTAAATGCAAGAAAGGTTTTTCCTCTGATAGACGCAAAAAACGAGGAATTTGTTGTTGTTCCTAAGACTGGAAAAGATGTGCTGTCAAAACAGTGCTTCGTGGAGATTCTTCAGCTMCATKAAACCATTATTTCAATAAAAAACTTTGACAAATTCTGCATCAAYTTGTCCAACAAGTGTGTGTTTACAAACCCACTGGAATTGTTTAATTTTGATGAAAACAAACTAAACAACATATCGCAGCACATTACAAAACTGTACAAGTCACAGGATTTCCTCATGAGAAATGGRAGAACACTGAACGTGAATTTTGATCATATATTTGGTAACCCTGTATGGATTAAGCAAGATCTTGAGAGTGCATCCGCTGTCCAGATTACGTATCAAATGTCAGATAGTGAAGAAGACCTTAAAGCTATCTTAGAACTCGAGGAGACTATGGTCGCTAATGTGTTTAACATAAAGTCGAGATTTTCTTGTGCTGAAGTGTACGTTAATGCAGGAAGAAGCATTGGAGATGCAATCGATGAGAGCAGTGGGTCAGACATCCTTTTTATGGCCATGACATTCTTGATTATGACAACGTTTGCATGCTTCTCTTTATTTAAGTTCAAGAACCCTTTGACAGGTCATGTTTGCTTGGCTATTGCTGGGATCATCGCAGTTGTTCTTGGAATTCTTGCAGGATTTGGTTTGTCAATGCTTATAGGTAATGCACATAAGCCGTAAGTTATTTGCTTAGTCGAGTATATTTCATATGTCATATGCTTTTGCCAGTTATTATAATTCTGCTATTATGTCGTAAGAAAAGGAAGATTTGGGATATATTTATATGAACTATCTTGTACAGATTCCAGTCCGTGTGTCAAGTATATACCCCTTATTTGAAAAAAAAAAACCTTTTCGGGTCGCAAAATCGATGATAAAAAAACGTGATATTATCAAATCTAACACCGAAGGGGAAAATTAAATCATATTTTCCAAAACATGTTATAATATGACATTAATTGTAGGAGATCATTCAATTCAATGCTTGGAATCCCATCTCACCTGTCAGGCTTTGATAWTGTAACTTTGTGGAACCCGCGACTGCATTTTTTCAACTATAGGCGTATACTTCGACCAGTTCGTCTTGTTTCCTATTTTCTTTACGCACCCCTTCTTCATTGCTTGGCTTGCTACAGCTTTCCTTCTAACTGGTATTATTATTGCACAGGTATACCGTTCATTAGTATAACTGGTATCCTTCCGTTTCTCATCCTTGCTATTGGTATTGATGATATTTTTATGGTAATCTACGAATTGGATCGTATAGACATCAGTGAACATAATGTTTTGGACACCGTCAAGCATATCATGGCGCACACTGGAACATCTATTACCATGACAACCTTTACCGACATTGTTGTTTTTTCTGTCAGTACAACAACCATATTTCCCGGCATACGCTACTTTTGTACCTACGCTGCATTTTCCATTGCTTGCTCGTATTTAATGGTTATTACTTTCTTTGTGGCATTTCTGTCGTTTGATGTCAGGCGGATGAAAGCAGGTAAAATAATCTTTGATATTTGTAGAATCTAGTTCGGTCATCGGCCGGCATTTGTCGCCAATTAAATTTGTAATTATTATATAGCATATATAACATAACATATATAGCATATATATTTATGCTACCCACCTTTATTTATGGGATAGAAAAGATACCACGAGGTAAATATCTTAAATTTCCCCGCATTTCGTTGAAATTATTGTTATTGTCATTCAATATATATATAAAACTTGTGGATACCAGCTGTAAACTAGTGTAAGCTGCGTCGATGTTTCTAAAGAAACAGTTGTGTAAAAAGATACAATTAAAGTGCATATAAAGAAATTTTTTTGTGCTTCCTAAAGATAGGTTACCAATCATTAAATATTGTTTGAGGAAAAGAAATTCAAAAAATCAAAATAGCGGTGTGTTTTTGAGGCGATTCAAGTTCAAAAATGGCCTCCTGTGCTTTTTGTATCGGGAGAGAGAAACTGGAGACAATAAACGTTTGACGTAGCTTCAYTCAGATTAGTCTCGAAGTTTGCAGAGAAATACTAGCAAAARTCCGTCATTCAGGTTTGAATCTGACATTAAAGAAAACGAAATTCGGGAATTAARATTCGAATAAATTATGTCACCAAGTTCTCATTAGCAACGATGCGCGCCAAAAAAACATCTGACTGATGTTACGTCACGCTTATTGTTACCAGTTCCCCTAGGACTCTCACTATAGAAAACACAGGAAGCCATTTTCTGAAGTTAATCGCCTCAAGTACACCCCACTATTTTGATTTTTGAATTGATTTTCTTCAAATCATATTTAATGTTTGGTACACCTTCCTTAGAAAACACAAAAAAAATCCTTTATAAGCACTTTATCAGGAGTATTAATATCCGAAGCGTCAYTAAGTTATTTCACCTACTTTTTTACACAACATCTTTTTACACAACTGTAATATAAATAAAACCGCCCGTACGATGTTATAGTCACTGGGCTTGCTTACAACCGTCATTCGTCGCTCTTGGTGTAAACTGGTGAAATTTATACTCCGGACGCGTATTTTTTATAGTAGTTTACTAGATTATTTATTGGTAAATTAGACTTGTTCTAGGGTGCCTATAGAATTTGACCAGTTTGCTCAATGTTAAAATGCAATATGAAATGATGCCGACAAGTTGGTGCTATTGTTTGRTCAGGTCGGCGAGATATTTGCCCTACGTGCACAGTCCCGAAGGAAGAACAGGGGGAYCAAAGCTGGAACACGCCAACGCGGCCGTTATCAAGTATGATAATGAATGCCTGGGGACGAGTGTTAATGCACACTGCTACACGGGTCATTGTTGTGGMTGTATCTTTGGCTCTTTTGGGAGGAAGTATCTTTTATGCCTTTAAGGTCTCCAAGGAATTTGATCGTCGGCAGTTGGCTAAAGAAGGTAATAAGGACATTSTTAGTATGTGCATATTATTAGTCCTGCCTGCTCTCRACAAGTCGTTTTTCAGACGTACTTTTTTCTTGTTAAATCTGGCTTTATATAAACTTATTTTTTATTTCATCAATCAATCTGGGTTCAACACCAGTTTTCAGTGCTTTTATGGAAACAATTTCAACAAAGTTTCTTTCAAAGTATAGCTGCAGCTAAAAGNTTTTTTGCAGATAGCTACTACACGGAATTTCTGAAGGCTCAGAGACAGTATTACCCGAGCACACTCCAGGTCAACATTATCGTTGATTCGCCTGACATAAAATATGAAACCAGTGAGGTACAGCAAGCGATCCTAAAACTATCTACAATAGCGATAGAGAACAGTTACAACAAGAATTTTACAATTTCTTGGATGCAGCAGTTGAAAGCATTTGCAAAGAAAGCAAATCTTAGCATTATTGGCTCAAGCTTTATGCCTTCGTTAAAGATTTTTCTCAGTGTTCCAGAGTATGCTTACTTCAGACAAGACGTTATCTTGTCCAAGGATAATTCTAGCGTCCTTGCATCTCGCATTCAATGCTTTAGGGAGTCGACAATTCTTGCAGTAGAACGAAAGGACGCCATGTTGTCACTAAGAAGCGACCTGGAAACCAAGTCCGACATTCCTGCTTACCCAATCACCAAGGTAATGTTAAGTTATTTTAGTATCTGGTTGACAWCTTAAATTTAGAGTTSCACGGATTAAATGCACTCACTCAATATTGATGGAAATTATAGCTCCTCATCCATGCGCACTGGTTTTGAATATTTTATGATTGATTTTTTTAAAGTTTGGTTTGCATTTCTTTACTTTATTTTTCTTTGTATASCAGGTATTTTTGTCTTTCTTTATTGACTTTATTTTTGTATTTCTTTGACAAAATTATCTTAGTATGCGGTCCGTTATAACCATTGTTTTGTTTATCGTAGGACTACATCTTTGTTGAACAACATGCATATACAACGAAAGAAACAACGGTCAAAATAGCAATGGAAGGCGGAGTGGTATTTGGAATGCTGCTTCCCTTTCTCCTCAGTCTAACRGGAACTTTTATAGTAATTTTTGGTTTTGGAGCTCTATTGTTTGAGTTGTTTGCCTGGATGTACTTTTGGAATGTATCTCTTAATATGATTACGATGATACAGATTGTCATGGCCATTGGTTTCTCAGTGGATTACAGTGCACATGTTGCGCATGCGTATCTCATGTCTACCAAGGAAAAGCCCGAGGATCGCGCTATTCACGCCCTAACCACTGTAGGGTCGAGTGTTGTCATGGGAGGTATTGATTTTTGTTTGTATAAATTGATCATTATACAACTGTTTACTTAGCAACAATCGATCGTAGACTAAAGTTGTCATTATTATGRCGTCACGTGTCTTGTCTGCGAATATGTTTAATGCAGTCCTTGATCTTTGCTTTATATTTTGTCTTCAATGGTGTTTTGGAGCTGATTATGAATAATTTCTGGTTGAATGCATTTTGTGCTGCAAAGCACAGTTCTGGAGCGGTGGGTTCTATAAACAGCAAAACATAACCAAAGACATTTCCCTTGTACCATCCCATTGCCTCTAAGCACTAATAACTGGCACTCTACCTGGTATTCAGGTAGTGCTCTCTGGCCTTAAGCAGGACCATGCGATTGCACATCAACACTTTTCAAGGGGCGAGGGGTAGATATAGTGCAAACATAAATGATAAATGTGGCAATTAAGTAAAAAGTGTGCCAACTTATGCAACACTGTTATGTGGAGGGGTAAAGGTAATAAGCCTATGATAAACAGGGCATTGTTCACTAGATGCGCGTGCAGTATTTTCAGCATTTTTGTTCGTGTTTGCGTTAGCTTCTTGAGAACATCATTTAATTGATTGTTCTTCGCAGGTACAAGTACATTTCTAGGAATGGTCGTCACTGCCTTCGCGTCATCAGAATACTTTAGGATTTTCTTCAAGATGTTTTTTGGAATCGTTGTCCTTGGCTTAATTCACGGTCTGTGYTTTTTRCCTGTTTACCTKTCTCTAYTCTATCGATGGACACCAATCTCATCACATTCAACAGTAAGTGTGCACTTGTAGGACGAATGAAGAAAATCACGTAGAAATGTTGTACAAAGATACAGGGGATACGAATAGGACATATCACAAGGAAAACTATATGCTGTATACCGAAGTTATATCTGAGTGTTTTCTTTAAGCTTCTCGTTCTATGTATTGCATGAATCCGGCATTGTTTCTTGTAGTTAAAAAGTTTACCAGCACAACCGATATCATAATTAATAAGAAATAATACTATATTCTGATCTTTATCACTACTTAGGAGCATCAACCGACAGCTGCACCTGACCATMMTGTAGGAATTTCAAACGAAGCAGTGGACAGTARTTTCCAGCTTGCAATTGTCGAAAATGGAGAATCCGTCAACCACCCAGAGGAGGCCGCAAAAGTYTAATCTTAAACTGACACTAAAAGGCCTAGTCCGGGACCTAAAATCRCCTAAAATTGCCCAAAATCGCAGTAAATCGCAGTAAATCGCTAAAAATCGCAGTAAATCGCTGAAAATCGCCTTAAGTTCACATACTTAAAAGGCAGTTATAGGTAATCTTGAACAATAATTATATTGATAATATCAATAACAAAAGTAAGAGGTTCCCATTTTAATCTGTATTTGTACAGATTGTGTTGATGAGTGCTAAGGACAGAGATGAACCAATCAAAGTATTATTAAGTACATAAATGTACTTCATTTCTAAAGTGAGCTTCTCTGATTGATTGATCTTAGCACACATTAACACAATTTTCATAAGTATAGACTTGTATAAATTGGAAAGTATATATATTCAAATGGGAACTTGTTTAAAATTTTGAATATATCAAAGCATTTCCAAACAAATTATTGCTAATCAAGAGTGGCACGTGAAGTTAAGTTTTAGACTTGAACAATCATTAAAAAATGAATTGATGGTATATCTGCCATACAACATTATTAAGTATACTTTTTGCATTCATAGATGGTGTCTCTAATATCATCTTACATTTTGTGTACCATGATATCATTTTTATGTTAGCCAGCCATATGGGAAATCACATAAAATCCCAGTATTGTTTTATTCTAATGCTGTTTAAGAATGAGTATGCAAGCTTATAATCTTGAGTTAATTATCACCTCAAGCATATAAGTTAACTTAAGCTTCTCAGCTTTTGATTTACTGATTTGGACATTGCAAGCAAACTAAAAATCATGATCTATTAGCTAAAATGCTAAATGATAGCTAAAAAAACCTTTAAATATATATCTAAACTTATGTGTACCCTATAGCATTTAGCAATACCCTTAAGTTAACATCAGCTAAATAATTGAGCTAAAGCTATAAACTTTAATAATGCAAACAAGGGACTCGAACGACAATAATTTTCCTTTTTATGCTACCTGTCTAAATATCTGAGGACGACTATACTTAGCATAAATATAGTGATTTCTTAATTATTTTTATATAATCTATGAATAGTGACGCCTTTTCTTGAGCCGGTGACTCTCCTCTTTGCGCATGTTCAATATAGCTGACATGCTTCTTTCAGTTCTTAGTCTTTCATGCTTCTAGATCTTGTTCATTCATCATTTTTGTAACTAATCCTACCTTTGTATTACCGGTTTTAGAGATGTGGTTTTATAAATTTAAGATTAGCAGTTCAAAATAAAAGGATTACCCCTTCGTGTGGATGATACAATCTTTGGAGTCCACCCACTGGCATTCCAAATCGCAATTTTTAATCATTTAATTCAATTCTCAATTGTTCATGGAGCTTTTGATATATGTTTGCCTCTCTTTTATTTGATGATTTTTTAAAAGAGTTTTTTATATGCTAGTTCTGTGGTAAATTACAGAAATTCTAATTCTAAATCCAAATTATGTTGATTGTTGTGATCTAGTGGAAAGTGCTATTGTTCCCGTTTGAATATTGGTCCTTTGGTTGATCTTGAGTGTTGCATCTTGGGTCGTCTGGTCCTTTAGGGTAGTTTCTAGTCCAGTGAACAAAGTACACCCAGACATTCATTTTGGATCGCTGTGGAAAGTCTAAGTGGAAAAACACAATGTAGATAAAAACATAACAAATAAAACAAATGACTGAGTATCTAAATCTGATGTGATGACATGAAAATGCTATAAAAATCATGAATCTTATCCATAAAATTAATTTGATCTTTTTACTTACATCAAAGTCTTTGCAGTTTTTATTACTAATTTTTGTGCTTTGACATTCAAGCTTGTCGTCAATTGGTAGAGAAAGCGAGTAGGTTCCAAAATGACTCGGCCATTCGGCTGCTCCAAACAGTGAGTCTTCACACTTGACGGTTTTTTCCTTGTCGGCAAGACATGAATTGAAGACGACGGTCATCTTCTTTCAAACAGTAAAGTGAGTCACCTTCAGATGAAAAAGACGGTTTTATCCATAATGGAAGAGACCGACAGGTTTTGACAAAATATAGTGAAACAAACCGCATCTAAGAAACGTCGACCACGCTTTAATTACATATGGAGGAGAAAGAATGCGCATTGCATCTTCTTTCTTTATTTTATAAATACTAACTTACTTTTTCCCTTCTTATTTGCCTTTTTGCATTCGTTTTCATCGGTTATAGCAAAACGATTAAAATCAAACTTTCTCCAATCTGTGAGACTTTGACGAAACTCCCTGGCCTTTCCAGCTCCGTCCTTAAAGTATGAGGCACTTTGACGTTGAACCTTTAATCTAACCTTCGCTGGTAAATTGTTTATTTTCTTCGTGATGTCACCTTCACCATATAGCTCGATATACATCTGAAATTTCAAAGATTCTTAACTGATCGATTTATGACTAACATGCACGGTAAGTATGATAGTGCACTCACTATCCAACGTGTACTAATTTTTAGTTTGTATTCTTACCTTGCAAAGGCGCACGTTGTAAAACGGTTCGCTGCTGTCCGAAATGTCAGATATCTTAAGAACCACCTTTGCCATCCCTTTATGCAAGTCGGCAAATAACTGAAAATCACAAAGCTTCCTTAATACGAACCGACGACATAAGCATAAGCGAGAAAAAAAGCCCGGTTTCGTGTAGACGTACCGGGGATACTCGTCAAAAAAATTTCAAAAACAAATCTAAAAGATCCTGGAAGTCTTGCAAAAAAGGGTGTGGCTGACTGATTTTTAACTCCTGAGAGATTGCACGACAAAAAATGTTAAATTAAATCAGTTTTAAAGATAAAAACGGAGAGGAAACGTCAATATCAATAAGCTCTTTTTCCTCTTTAATTTCCGACACCCTAAGAAATTGCAGAAAATGCAAACATCCAGAAACTCCAAATTGGCACCTATGTGATAATTATAGTCTGAAGAGTAATTATTTATAACTGACAGACATATGAAATGCACTCTTGCAATTTAGCTCTCTTGACAGAGTCATGAAATCCTTTCATGCAAAAGTGACGAAACACGGAAAATAAACAAAATTATAAAACTTATTAATAATGCATAAGCTATTGCTCCAATAAGGGCTGACCATTTAATCAGGTGATTGACCTTGTAAATCTGATACAACCACTAGTGGTTGTATCGGATTTACAACACGGTCGTCACCATTGAGACAACCCAACACTAGCAAAGGTCTCAGTTTTAGTGTCGCATCATAGACCTTCACTAGGTTTTCAAGCAATCAAAGACGGATAACAGAACTCGCTTATGCAGCAGATGGCTTGCTTTCCATGTGGGATGGATAATTATTCAAAATGTTCTGTGTTGCAKTAAATTGCGCATGCTTAATAGAGACTAAACTCAGCAGTTACCTTATTTGTCATTTTTCGTCATTTATCTCACTGTAATTCATGTTAATTTGTGTTGGAGTTTTATAAGTCGTTTACAACATTCGCGTCCGTGTTGTATGGGAATTACAATCTCTCGCCTGCGGCTCGAGATTGTAATTCCCATACAACACGGCCGCTCATGTTGTAAACTATACCTAAATCTTGACATAAGGAATAATTATTTACCGCGGAATTGTCTGCGCTGTTAAAAGACCATTTATGTCTGGAGACTTTAGGCGAAAGCTTGGTAAAGCACTGCTTTTCCTTGAAATTGATGTCTTTGATCTCTTGAATAGCCTCTGTAAGTTTAACAACTCCTTGAAGCTGGCCATTGCCTGAAGCGGCTTCACTCGCCGTCCTCTCAAACGCAGTAAGCCTGCTGCTAACATTCCATAGCGAGAAAAATTCGTAGCTTTTATAGAAATTATAAAGATGTTGAGAGAAAGAAGACTCCATGTTTTGATAGGATGTGAGTAGATTATCAAGGAACGACTGCTGAATACTGTCAGCGATAGGCGTTTCTGCAAATATATACCATATCAAACAATTGCCTCAGAGAAACATTCATTCGTTCAAACTTTTGCTGACTATATTGGCCATTTTTATGTTATGAAATGAATTGTAATTTCTGTCATATTGAGCCAATCGAAAAACTAACCATATCACTAAAAAGACTTTATCGACTTTAGTGTAGGTTCCAAGTTACAGATCATTTGGACAAATATTCAATTAATGAGAAGCCGTGCATTTTACAGAGAATGTATGGGGATTTTGACCGCGTCCCCTAAAACAATACATTCTCTGTTAATTTGATGAAACTAGGAATAAATACTGTTCAGCTAGTTTTTATCCAAACGTTTTGAAACTTGGTATATATACTAATTTTTGGGTGCCCTTTCATCTGGTGGGGTTTGTTTCGTGAWTAGATCAATATTTCTTTGATTAGTGCCCAGTCCCCTGCGCAACGTCGAAATGGCCAATATGGTAATCTTACCTTATAAGGAAGTACGATAGAAACTTTTTTTTCAAGTTTTTTCCACCTTTTAGAGCTTTAAAATAGCTAAAACTTACAGATTTTGCAGAGAAATCGCTTTTCAACATGTCGGCCATTATAATTTTGTCCTAGTCCCCTCACATCCTTGAATATAAGGAATCCCGCAAACGACACAGGTAGCCCGCGCGAATGTTAGGCAATTGTTTGATATGCCATAATTAGCTAGGTCAGGAGACATGTTCTCTATAGTTTTGCTATTTGAGTATGAGAGTCCCAACATGGACAAGTTATGTTTCGTAGCCCACTGTTAATAAGAACTAAAACGAACGTTCACTAGAAATGAGTAAGCTAAGACCAACATTTAGTGTGCAATACCTTTTTTATGAATTCATAGCGTGGATTAAAACTTTAATATCTTCTTTGAAAAGAAATCACGCTCAAAAATTATAAATTTTTTTGAGAGGCTTAGCTTAATCAAACTTACAGTAATATCAAATTTTGAGTAGTCGTAAACTAACATACTCTAAACAAATGATAAATCAGATATCCATGTATTAATGTGCTATAATTTCCTCACCACCAATGTTAGACAATTCGTCTAGTTCGTTTACAG